AATTCTTCTGGGGGAGGCATCCACGTAGTATTTGGTGCTGGGACCAGACCCCCAGACCTCCCCACTGGTTCTCTACTCCACGCTGGCATGTTGTCTTCACACCTTGGAGCACTGGGTTGAAGTCTGGTCCCTCTTTTCCTGTGATAATTACTCTTTCCACAGTGATGTAAATTCTATACCACCTGCTAAATTAATGACACTATGTAGCATGGGCATGACTATAATGCTCTTTATCATAAAAGGATGTTGTCTCTAAAGTAAACCAAAGACGTATACAAACCATAGATATATAAAGAGGCTAGAGGGTTCCCCTTAATTTAAGCCCCAATCTACAAACAATTAGGTCTTATAATTCTTGCCTACCCACCCCCACACTTGTCCTCATGAAGCAATCACTGAAGATATGGGTGCTAGAGCAGAGTGGGTGAAGAAAGAAAGTGGTGTCCCTATATTAGAGAGAATAGAATCTGGGATCTAAAAATAATATCTTAAAATTAGCTGTCATTTAAATGATATGTCAACTTAGCCCACATGCAAGGACACCAGCCTGTGTGCTCCAAGGATTGTAATTATATCACCACATACAATGGAGGGAATGCTTACAACATTTAAATTGTCAACACATGGACTGCCAAAACTATGGATGGCCTGGAAGCCAAAACTCCATTCGTGGAGCCACCACGTAAATTCAGCCTCAGGTGCATCCCCTGAGAACACAGTCCATGGATGTGAATACATTGATATCAAACACAGGGCATGGCAGATGGCTTAGGTTAAAATGTACTTCCTTAAAATTGATAACTTTTGGAACCATTTTAAAGTTGTTTCCATTTTCAATATTTGCAGCTTTATTTAAATTAGATTTTCCTATGTCTTTTCTACTCATTGCTGTTGCTGCTTCCTTGTTTGTTTGTTTGCTTCCAGATTGTGCTTTTTTTCGTGTCTGTATGCAAAATCTGGCATAGGTAAACCTACAGACACTGTACCTGGATTCATAACCACCTACAAGTATAGCAGGAGAGGATGGGGGGACACAGGGAGCTCACAAGCATGTGTATGAGAAGGAAAGGTCCCAAATAACTTTGGTG